CAACAAGATGTTCACATTCACAACTTTAGAATTACATATCAATAAGTAATTATCTATTGGTAGTGAAATTTTTGTTTAGAGTTTGACAAGTTTGTGTTGGCGATGTTTACAAATTTACAACTTAAAATTTAAATATTCATAAATATAGATTTATCTATTCACAAATCAAAATCCATTATGATTTCATATATTCAAAACTATGCTTCATCGTGACAGTAGTTTCATAATTTTACAATCACATGTTCATAAATTCACAGCTTTAGGTTTACACACACGCATACATATATGTATGTGTATGTATGCATTAACAAGTAATTTGTTAATTGGTAGTGAACCTAAAATTCTTTCTTTCTCACTAAAAGCAATTGTGTTTTTTTTCCCCTCCTAAAACATATTTGTAAAAAGGACCCTGCAAAATAATATTAGAATGCATTAGGTGCCAAGTGCAATTTTCCATTTATATGCGCCCAGACACGCCCACGCACACATGATGCCGGGCTTCATTATTGCTTCCAAGTTCCATCGATCGAGCTGCTTCATGTTAGCAAACCGATTGATGTTGCGGACACCAAAATCATGGTCAGTGTTTCTTTTGATGTAGATGTAACCATTGACTCCCCATTGTTGACTCCATGAGTTTTTCACAATCCAATAATCAAAACCAGCACCAAATGAATAATATCCAACAATCAGCATAGCAATGATCAACATCCCAATGTTAAACTTTTAATGAAGAAATTAGTGCATACATGGATCGATCAAGCCAAATGGATCTCTCTTGTTTCAAAGATGAAAGTGTTTGTTTATTTATTGACCCATAGGAGTTTGAGTACAACATTTGAAATCTTATATGAGCCCTTTACAATAGAATAATCTCTCAAGACAAAAAACCAAGAATTACAATACCCACGAGATTTTCACTGTTGGCCCAATACAAGTGGCCTGGCCTAATAACCTGGTACAACACTCATATCAATTATTTTATTTTTGTATCTCTATGTCGATGGATGAGCTCGGTGTGAGTTGTGTGAATGAAGTTTTAAAAATAAAGTTTGGTATTTATAACTAATGAACAATATAAGTTGTTATAAATTTTATATTTAATATTTTATCCAATATCCTCGAAGGGATTTATATTCATTATTAATATTCTTTTGTGATCGAAATGAGAATTATATATGATCTGTTAAATTATGGAGAGCCGGGGGCAAGCATAAATATTTAAAGCTTGAAATAGAAGAGATAATTCATAGGATCTTGATTTCCCAAATATAATTGAAGAGAAAGAACCTTTGAGCTCTCTGATCTTGGATATTACTCCCTGCATCCCAAATTACTCCCTTTGTCGCAATATTTTTTTTTAGAAAATTATATTGAACATACTAATATGGTCTTTTGTATAAGTATATTTTTCATACCATATACCACTCATTAAAATATTATATATCTAATAATTTTTTGAACTTAAATATTTTATTTAGTTCAAAAAGTACAAAGTATTAATAATAGGGATACAAAGTTACAAAATTTACAAATGCACCACTGAATATTATTCTTATGTTACAGGTATGACACTAATTTACAAATTTATCACTTGTCACATTTCTTTCACTGTTTTATTTTTAACCTGTATAAAATCATGGTGTAAAATGTATATTTTATATAGTAGTGTGATTGTCTTTATCTATTGCCGATGATGACTTCACTTTTTTTTTTTCATACTAGAGATAACATGAACAATATGCAAGCGAATCTTTGCGTCATTTGATTTCAAGTTCACAAGTTACAGTACAAATAGAACTTTGATTCATTTAATTAATTTTTATGAAAATATTTTGACAGCGACAGTTTGTTGCCGCTATAAGTAATTGTATAAATTATTTTTAATTTTTTATTATTTTTTATGAAAATACTTTTGACGGCAACAAACTGTTGCTGCTAAAAGTAATTATATAAATTATTTTTAATTTTTTAATTTTTTATAAAGATACTTCTAGCGGTGACAAACTGTCACCACTAAAAGTAATCACATAAATTATTTTTATTTTTAATTATTTTTTATGAAAACACAGAAATTAATTGTATAAATTATTTTTAATTTTTAATTATTTTTTATAAAAATACTTTTGATGATGACAAACTATTGACGCTAAAAGGGAGCCTTCAGCAGCCATATTTAAAAGTTACTATTAAAAATCTACTTTTGATGGTGAATTTTAATAGCAACACAATGTCGCTACCAGATGTTGACTTTTAGTGGTGACTTCTAATTGTCCTCACCAAAAGTAAACTTTTAGCGGTGATTTTTTTTGTCATCACTAAAAGTTGCTGCCAATATTTTTTTGGTAGTGTAGCTATATTTTGTTTTTTCATTCATATGATCAATCTCCAAGGTTGAATAATTAAATGGTAATTAAATGACTAATTTGCATTTAAAAAGGTTGAAAATTAGAACCTTGTTGATGAAAAAGCTATACGGGATCTCCCCCTATCTAGACATGATATTGCTTGAATCTGAATTAGTCACTCACTTTAGATAGTAGCCAAGAACTATACATATTTAACCCATGTATCAAATAAAAACAAGGTTATTACTTTTTACTTGCTAGGAATATGAATGTTTGTAATTTAACATGTGTAATTATGAATGTCTGCGTTCCCTATCTAAGATATCTTAAAAGCTTAATAAGTTTGTTCAAGCATGACTTGGTAAAACATTGCAGCATGAAACTTCGTTTAGATCTGTAAGATTTGTTGTGTCCCTCTGCAAACGCAAGCATATAGGCTAGTTACTGTAACTCTCTATATTGGTATATAGTAGTAAGCTTCCATGATATTTTTTGAAGCAAGAATTGCTTATCCATAACTTACAAGCTAGTTACTGGATTATGCTATTGTTATGTAGCCGTGTACAAACCAGATCCATGACAGTATTGAGGGACACAAGTTTTTTATTAGAAATAACACAAAAGTTTCAAGCAAAGCTCTATCACAAATAGAGCATTTATTCTCAAAGCTTACATATATAATAGAGTTGATTAACCTTTATTCAAATATGGCAAGTGATATGCCATTTATTCATGTCGAAGACACTTGTAGCTAGCTAGACATATAAAGTGGCTTTATCATATAGAATTGCGCCAAGCTGCTTCATATAGCAGAATCAAGTGATAGCTCAAAACCTTTGGTCGGGTAAGCAGCAAAGCAATTTATGTTGGATACTCCATCAGGGACATTAGGGTTTCTCCTGATGAAGATGTAGCCATCTTGTCCCCATGTGTATCCCCACGAGTTCTTCACAATCCAGTAACGTTACCCGAAAATTGAATCATATCCAACGAGCAACACAGCATGATTAACTTTACATGGTCGTTCTTCGCGGATGATGCTATCATCAAAGATTCCCTACCCATGCATGTTCAAAGAAAGCAACTTCAGCTTTCAATGAGGAAACAGGATGATAAATAGTGAAATATGGGATCTTTGCTGATTTCAAAGACATGTATAAAATATTTCTTTGCAATAATGTAACTTTTAATTTTCTAAGTTTGTCTCAATTATCGATTTATTCTTTTAAGTTTTATTTTTTTTTTGATTTAGTTATTTAAATTTACCTTGACTATCAATTTAGTTCTTACTATTTAAATAGGAAGTAATATTGTTAAAATTTACTGATGTATATAGATAACAAAATATTGATTGCAATCATGCAGATTTTAATGAAAAAATTGTAATTATTTAGTTAGAAAAAAATGAACTCTAAATTTTTAAAAAAAACAAGAGAACAAAATATAGTGTAATGGATTATTGATAGAAATTAAACTGATTTTGAGGGTTAATTTTCTCTTATTTAACTACATATACATACCAAGTCATCAATATACTTTACACAATAGATTATTTTGAGAGTCAAATATTATTTAAAATTTAAAAAATTGCATGATAATTTAAGAAAATATAAAAGATCAAATCAATATTTTCTTTTTAAAATATTTTTATATTTAAGTTTTATAATAGGAATCTTTTTCATGTTGAAAGTATAGAATGATGACCATTAACTCATAATTAGCTTCATACAAATTTAGTTGTGACCCGTTTAACATGTATCATTTTGGACTTCAACAAGAAATTAATATAACTCCTCTTAATGGAAATATGCATATTAGACGTCATGGAGATTATTCATGACTTACTTGCTGGTAGTACGAGAAATCTCTTGTAACATTGACAGAAATACTGACTGGCTGCTTAGCAGCGGCACAGAAGAGAGCACTTTCTGATCTGTATGTCTTATTTACATAGCCATCAATAGTAGCAGCTATCAATTTTTCCTGTTTCATAAGAAAGAAGAAAAAGAAGATGAAGAAGAAGCAAATTAAACCAGAATCAGGCAAGAAGACACAAATAAAGATTTTGTAGGAGAAGAAGCAGGAGTAATTAATTAACACTGACCTTTTCGTGATCACATGTACCATCTTTTTCTGTATATGGGTAATCTTTTTCTGTGGCAATGCCTCCATTTTGTATGACATATTCAAATCCTCTTGTGTACCACCCTCCCTTTTTACAGCCTAAGTTATATGGCTCGCAAGACATAAGTTGTTGTTCGGAGACGCTGACAAGGTTACCTGTGGCTATTTTATGTATTCCTTCAATGGCTCCTGCAGTAGAGAATGCCCAACAGCTTCCTACACATACACACGTTAATTTAGGAGTTATAAATATCAAACCAGATAGTTATAAATTCAGGAGTTCTAATTTCAAATAAGGCATATAAATTCTAAATACAACTTACAGTTTGCAGTTCTTGTCTACAACTGTTTAAATCAATATTTGCAATTTATTTTTTAATAAATTTTGTTAGGGATCTACCTGTCATAAATTCCATGTTATGGGACTTTATTGTCATTCTGCCAGATTTTAAATCTAAAATCCAAATTCAACCATCAAAATGATACGTAAAGGATTAGGTTCTCTGAGTGACACTTACCACACTTGCCTTAGTTTTTAACAGGAGTTACAGCTCCGAAGACTCTCCAATCAATGGAAGGAGGTGCATCTGGACAGAAATCATTGTGGGATTCCATGTTCCCATCATTGTCGATGTTGTCTTCAATTATGGGTTGCTGATGACCCAAGTATGTTTTGCTGAATTCCTCGAAAGTCAAATCTGAGAACTGATTCAAACCCAAACGGTAGGATGTTGTCTTGGCATTCTTCGTCATGATATACTTGAAATTGCTTTTGAAAATCTCAAATCTGTTTTCCTTCTCATCCCCTGACTCGTATTCTCGTTCGTATTTCTTCTGCCACATTCGGAATAGTTCACGAATGTCTTCCTCTGAAGTGAATTTGTCTAATTCGTCAACATCGTCATCACTTAGAATGGGGTACTAACTAGGAATACTGAAGGAGAGGCATATGTTGGAAAAGAAGAGGAGCACAAGAAGAAAGAGAGACTTAGAGATGAGAGAAGTCATTGTTTAATCAAATGAGATATCAAATGATTGAGCTACTATCATTGCGTTGGTATATGTCTTGTATATATAGAGCCTTTTCACATTCTTAATCCTTTTTTTAAAAAAAAAAAATTTGTCATTCTCTATAATTTTCTTGGTCCTTTTTATCATTCATTGGTCACTAGCAATCAAAATTAACTTTTGTTAATGATAGGAGTTATATGGCACTATTTTCAAAAGTGGAGCAAAAACATTACACAAAAAAATAAGTTTAGGGTCTTAAATGCTCCTGAATCTATAGTTTAGGAGTCAAATTGTCCTTTAACCCTAGTGATTTAAGAAAATATAAGAGACCAAATTAATAATTTGAACAAACTTAAGAGACTGAAAGTTTGATTATCCTAGAAGAAAATATTCTTTTTATTGTAAAAAAAAAGGAAATATTCCTTAATGTGCTTGAGTTTACACTGTCTATATTCCCAATTTCCCCTAACACCCGTGTAGTCCCCCCCACATATGGAGGTTTGCAATTTAAGTCCATAAGTTAAAAAAAAAAAAGTAAAATACTGGGTGATATAAGGTCTTTAAAAAAAAAATGGACCACCTTATCGTGTATATATATAGGTGGTGCGTTTTGGAAGAGTTAAACATATTTTTTAAGAAATATGTCAGGTAGATTATTAAATATCTTTAAAGAATAATTAATTTAGTTACTTTTTTTTATATCGCAAGCATCAAGTTTAATTTTTTAATTAATAACTATAATTATATTATTAATTCAATGTTAAAGTAACAAATTAAAAGAAAAAGTCGAAGTGATATTTAAATGATAAGATTTTAGTACTTGAAACATAAGCTTTGAAACTAAATTCGTGGTATTGCTTAAACTTCTTCCACTAAATGTCACTCCCAATAAAGTAGTTACTTGTCTCTAAGCTAACTTTATTTTTTTATATTTACCCTTATTTAATAAGGTGTTGCACCTTAAAATTAATATAAAGTGATTTATTCAATAGAGGTATTTTTGAAAAGAAGACAATAATTATACCTTAAAAGGCTAAAAATGCCTTACATTTCTTAACATGCAACCTTTCAAAAAATGTCTTACATTTTTTAACGAAAGGAGTATGTTATTAAAAGTAGGACTTACTTGTTAAGTTGTGTTATATATTTGTTAATCATATGTATATTTGTCTTATAAGTATTTATTCAATATTAACATTCTTGCTCCCTCCAAACCACAATATAAAATGTTTTGTAAAAGCTTTACTTGGTCCAAAATATAAGTAATTTGGTAGGTTTTGTGTGTGTATTTCTAATTATAACCTAACTTTATTATTTTCCCCTCAAATAATAATTAATGAGGATATTTTAAACAAGTCAAATGTTATATTTATTCCATGATAAGTGCATTATAATATATATATATATTATATAGTTAAATAGTATTGATTTTTGGTTTATATTTGATTAAATTTATTAAGATT